AGGGTCTTCATGAAATGTCTGTAACATACTTTGGTTAAAATTTCTCAAAGGTAGTGTAAAACAACACCATTTTTACCTTTTGGGATGATTCTTTAGGGTCTTCATGAAATGTCTGTAACATACTTTGGTTAAAATTCCTCAAAGGTAGTGTAAAACAACACCATATTTACCTCGTCAAAAACAGCTTTGTACACAGCGACCCATTTCAGTGCATGTCTCTTTAAATGATAATGAGCTACTGCTTACTCCACCCCTCAAAATTAATCCACTGCATCTTCAGCGGCTCTGTTTCACACTGCGTGTCAGCTTCACTTCGTCACTTTAGCTGCAGACTCGTGAGACTCAATAATACGAGACGTTGTCGTTACTACAGCTGATAAAATGCCAGACAGTGTACAGCTAGCTGAGGGCAGAAATATGCTAATACGGGACAGTCCGTCAGCAGCTGTGGGCGGAGCCTAATCAAAATTGCTTGATAATTGAGACTATAGATTTTTTGGGGATTAAAAAAAGGAGTGAATGGATTTTTATCACTGTAGGGTGGTTGTGTCCACACACTGCTAAGACATCTATATGCAAACCATGTAAGAGCAAAACATTTAATGCAATGCAATACAATGATGATTGAAAGATGAACAAATAAACATTCCTCAAAAGCCTTATGGATCATATTTGATACATTTTAACATGATTTTCTAAAAAGTATTGTATGGATAATCATGTAAACAAGTTTATTTAGTCTATTAAATGTTCATTTTGAAATATGACTAACATTATAAAAGTCATTCTTACATTTACTATTGTGGGTGTATTATTGACATGTCAAAGTCTAGACCCTGAATATACGACGACCGTGTTTTTTCAGATGTATTTCCAAGAAAAACACATAGTCTTATATTCGGGTCAATACGGTATAATGTGGGGCTGAGTTTTTCACGACACATAAACGATGATATTTCAAAGAGTCAATTCTGCTGTTTTCCACATGCACCGTGATCTCTGGCAGTTCATTACAGTGTTTCCCCTGCCATTATTTTAGAGGGGGTGGCCTGCCCCCCCCAGGGGTGCCGTGTAAAAAATCCTCTTTTTTTTATATATATTTTTAAATTGCTAAAATGTTCATAAAAGCAGCTATTATATAATATCCATTTCTGATGTCGCCAATAATTAGAGACGAAAATTAGTTCATTGCTCAGGATTCACGTTCACGTGGTGTGACGCTCTGCGTATTATCCCGCTCTATGCGTGTGTGTGCTCCGCTCATTCGCTCACGGTCCATGTGAGTGCTCCACTCATATACCGTTCATGCTCATCAGAACAGCAAAGTCCACTCAAAAATCAAGCTTACAGGAAACATCTATGTAGTACAGTATTGTTTCTGTCTGCAATAGCCCTACTGTGTTGTAACAAGGTGGGG